ACAATGCCGAATTGCTAAACCAGCCTCAAAACCATGCAGTCCATACAGCTACCGCGAATGGCACAATCTGAAGTGAACCTCGCAATTCCGAAGGGCTTGCCTGCACAGAAATCTGAAGGAACAAACGAGAACTATCACAAAGCTTCAAGAGTCACCACTCAGTCGCTACATGTCCTTCTTTGCATTTACTCCTGCCTGTACCTTTGCATTTCGTCCCAAGCACGTTGCTGAATGCGAGCTCGCCGCTCCTGTGTTGACATGCGCTTGCATCTACGAAGGTGCATAAATACAGGGGTGCGTGAGCTCCCACCACAATGTTCCACAAACCTCTTTTTCAAGCGACCAAAATTCTCAACAAAGTTGAAACGCAGGAGCCTGAGAAGCGTCACCCCTGCTTCCTGACACAAGCCAACAAAGTGGAGGCGATGCATGGCGCAAACAGAGCTTCCATACCATGCCTTCATCTGACGGTTTTGAGTCCTGTCATGCAGTCAACGCCGGCTGCCTACGTGTCCAAACACAGGTCTTGACTTGTGAGGCCTGGCTGGCTGACCGATCCTAAGCAATCCGCATTTGCTCAACCTTGACACCTCTTGGATCTTCTGCACTCTCCATGCAAATCTGAAGCTGGAACTGTTGCTTCGGCTTGGCTTTGCCAGTTTCGGCCCCCAGAAGGTCCATAAGAGTGCCTGAAACACTTTGACAGTGTTACTACGCAAATGCTCGAAAGTCTCTGGGTTCTTGGCCCCTTCCAGAAGTTCTCTACCTGCAATAGCATACTTAATCTGGCAAATTCTTGTTCAATCAAACTGTTAGGCCTTGCCAAGTACTGATGCAATGCTCAAATCAAAAACACTTGCATTTCCAGCTCATTCCGATTCTAACATTGAAAGACTCTTGCTCTCTGCCACAAACAAGAGATCTGGACCTGCAAAAACACTACCCAGGCGGACCAAGAATGAACGCAAGTCGACCACCAGCCAACTCATCATGCCAGCTAGCCGCTAGCCAATTCCAACTGCGGCACACAGTCACTGCCCAATCACAGCACTCAAATACCAGCCAACTCAAGCACCCAATGCCACATTGACCACTTTGACCCACATCCATCTCAATTCAGAGTTGCTGTGGGAGTGTTGAATTGATCACGTTGAACATTGTTGAACCATACAAACACATCACTTTTCATGATTGCTACAAATTGTGACAACCACGCTTTCCTGCTTTCACTGCGCCTGCTGTTGCTTTGGATTGACACTCTTTCTCTAGACTGTTGGTCTCCAATGCCTTCTACCCTTCAGTGGCACTGAAAAGGGGTCATAGGAGACATGTGCATACAAGAATACTTGCGAGGGTGAAACATGTGAAGGCAGGATATACAAATTAGGGCACCCAGAAAGGCAAGTGAGAAAGCAACAGGCAAACAAAAGAAATTTGCAATTCTTCCTTCGCCTCCTGCAATGATTTTCTGTTGGTGTTTTGACCCAATTTTGCAATTGTTAAAACACCTTTTCTGCAATTTTTTGCCTGGGTTGGCTTTCGTTCTTTTGCGGCCATCTGACTCGACGGCACCATAAAGCACAGTCCCTAAAACATTCGACGCCTCGGCAGACAAATCCCCATGGAGTGAGAAATCCGCCCGCGCCGGAGGTGCCGAGGGCGTCATGTAGGCTCGCGTAAACTCGCAAGGAGTCCGGCTAGATAAATCCTAAGCTTTAGCTTGGGGGGTGGATTTTTCTCCTAGAAATGCTGTGCTTTTCAATGTTTTTGAAAAAGTGACTAAAGTTGGACCAAACGTTGGCGATGCCGGTTATGCCGGTCGGAGCACATCGCATTATTGACATCGCAGACGTCTCGGCAAGCCAAGGTGCACTATGGATATGCGATGCCGGTTACGCCGGCCGGGGGAGACTGCATTATGGACATCGCAGAAGTCGCAAACGCGTAGGCAAACCGCGGGACACTGTACGATTGATATCGTGGATGTGTTCGGTCGTGTGCCCAGTCCCACTGGATGAGGTGAATGGTATTGAGCATGTGGTTTTTGATGTTTTTTTTGGGGGAACAATCGCATACGCGGAGCTGCGCGCCGCACTTGTCGTCAACATGACGGAGCTGCACGGATGGTCCCGCAGCATCACACCTTATCAGAATGGCGGGGCGTTGGAGATCGTGCGATAAGTCTTGCGATTGTTTTCTATGCTGAGGACGTGGCCCATAGAGAATTGTGCCTGGCACGGAGCAAGCACAGCAACGGCATATGTTCTGTGACAAAAACAGAAGGAGGTACTACAAAAGTATACGAATTGCTTTCTATGCTGAGGACGTGGCCCATAGAGAATTGTGCCTAGCGCGGAGTAATCACAGCAACGGGACTTCTTCTTGGACAAAAACAGAAACAGGTACTACAAATATGTGAGGTATTCCCGCAGTAGCAATTGCTTTCTGTGAGGACATGGCCCATAGAGAATTGCGCCTGGTACGGAATATTCCACGTTCGGTGACAAACGCAGAAAGAGGGACTACAAATTTGTGAGGTCTTTGTGCAGTAGCTCTGTGCTTACCGGAAAAGGCAAAGCTGCCTTTGTTTGCCTTGATGGGGCGTGAGGGCGTCCCGCGGACGGTGGGTAGGCACCTTGCGGCAAAGCATCGACACGCAACCCCCGCGTTTGACGACGCAGATGTCTACGGTTGGTTTCGATGTGTCGGTTGCGTTTCTGCGGTTGCGTCGGGAACTGCTAGACTGAACATTCTTCGCGCATGAGGAGCGGGGTGCGGATGCTCTTTCTCCACTGGTGGCAACAGCGATAGCACTGTAGATGTTGGCCTTGGGACAGCTGTTCCCAACCAGCTCCTTGAGTCAAATTCGCAAGAAAGCAGCGCAGTGGCCAACGAATCTTTTTTCCGGCGCGATCAGAACATGGTCGACAGGGCACTTCCAACAGAGTCCATGCGGGAGCCTTCTTGTCCTTAGCTGGACGCTTTGGTTGCGGGGTCGTTGGCCATGACCTGTTTCCAAGCTGCTTCGACATCTGGCCAGTGCATCTGGCCTGACACGGCGACGGCGCTCCGCTTTTAACTTTGTTATTGCCTGTGTAAGCTAGTCAGCGTTTCACATGTGTATTACTTACACTCATGATTTCGTTCTGGATATATGAGACACCCGGCCTTGTTGTCGCGCTAAGAGTAAAATTGGTCCGGGTGCTTTAGGTTGTCGAAACAGCTGCGGTGAATAGGGCTGGACTAGAAGAATATTGTCTGCAGCTTTCACCCGTGAGCGGATGATGTAGGCTCGAAGCCGGCTATCCGGGGTCGGTGTTGCCGACCAGTGCAACAGGTCTCCTTTGCACGCAGCCAGCGTGGTCCCGCAGTACGCGTGAGCCGTCCCAGCAGAATCGGGAGCGACGTGGAAGCCACGTCTTTGGACACGCAACGACCGGAGTGTCCATGACCGCGCGGTTGGTCGAATTAGTACAATACCATCCGTGAGGTGTGACGGCGGCGATGTCAACCTCGCCGCAAGGAAAGAAGGGCGCTCTTGCAACACGACTTCTGGTTCGTCACTGGCTTCGATCCTGAGGACATCAGCTGGCGAGAGCCCCCATCCAACCAAAGTGGCCGTGGCATGTTTGAAGGCCCGTACATCTCGATCGTGCGTCTCGGTGAATCTTATCGGCATTCCAGCGATTAAAGGAAACACGCCCAAGATTCCGGCTGTTAGGCGATCATGTAGTGGAAGCCAGCACGTCTGCTGTTTCGCCAGATCTGCTTGATGTGAAACAAGACCAGAATCATGTGGCACTGTCGTGCTGCGTACACCTTCGCGAAGAATTCTCTGTACATACTCATTTTGGATGCCCGGTACTGGCAACGCATCATCCGGTCGTAGCCCCAGCACCACCAACAGATCCATGCCGTCTGCGCCCGTGACGCCCCGGCGTGTCAAAAGGCTAGACACTCCACCTCGCATTGCATCTAGATCTACTCTCATATCACCTGACATTTACATTCACAGCATGCATGCCAAAATAGCTTTGCATCTACATCTATCCTCGTTTTGCGCCACCTGACATTCATATCGCCAATGACATGCCCGGCTCCGAGGGCACAGGGTTTCTTTTCGAGCTCCAACCTCCTGCTGCGGATGCAAACCGTTTAAGATTCTTACCGCACTTCAGTTTACCTCACAGCTCCCGCATCTGTCTTTTGCGCCGTCCGTCTCTCTTTTCGGCTTCCTCAACTGAGCCCCTGGCCCCCTGCACGCGCTCCAGTTGCTTTGGCGCACCAACGTCATGAATTCGTTGTCCCTAGCACGGGAAAATCACAGCAACTCACAACCACACGGTGTTGGATCACACGTACCGCTAGATAACCTTTAGAAACGTGCAGCCATCCACCCTTTGAAGCTTTGCATGAAATTATATGAATGTGGCAGACGTATAGCCTATAGCATTTTTGTATTTTCTCTCTTTCTCAAAGATGTATTCATTCACACCTGCATGAAGCTACAACACATCGGCATCTGTAAAACTACACCTTGCCATTCAGATGATGCAAATGATGCTAATTGCATTTCTTGCGTCACCACCCCCTCAAAAAACACAAAGAATCACGTCCAAAACAGCTTCAAAAACCTTATTCGGTGGACCCCCAACATCGCCGAAATAAAAATTTACGTAGCCCTTTCTCGGGCCACCCCTTGACACCCCGACTTCTTCACTTCGCTCGCCAAACACAACTCGGCTGGCGCCTTCTAGGAAAGCTCGCTGTTGCAAAAAAAGAGGCTCCGCGCGTGCTCAACTAAGCCCCTGGCGCAGTGCGTGCGCTCCGCCCACAACCATCAGATGACCCCTCCCCCTTCTGACTGCTTCTTCACACTCCACCCGCTATCAATACTTTCCCGGCTCCGAGAGCGCAGGTTGCTGCAGACCAATCCTGGGGGGCCATTTGATCACCAAAAACAAGGTCGAAGGTCAAGTGGCCCTTTGGACACGAAATAACGGTATGGCAGTGGAAATTTCTTTGGCCGTGAAAAAGCCGGTAAGGCCGTGAACAAGTGTGCATTTGGACGTGAAAAAACGGCTCCTGGCCGCGCAATGGCCTGAACAACGTAAGCTCAAGGAGTTGCAGCCGTGAAAAAGCCACATGGCCGTGAAAACGGGCTCTGGCCTCCTCACACTCGCGCCCACTACCCCAGACAACACTTTCCCGGCTCCGAGAGCACAGGTTGCGATCTGTGCGGGCGGCTTCGAACGCGAAGCGGTGTGAATAATAAAAATAGCCTGTTTCTTCCAAACTGTTGATACAGAGCCCGCCCCAAAACACAGAATTTGGCTTGCAAAAACCTGTATGGCAAATCTTGTTTTGGCGCGTTTGACCATAAGCCCGATACGAAGACCACTGAATCTTCAGTGTCCACCTCGCATTCGGAAACATAGCCAACAAGCACATAGTGCGCGACGACCGTGTCTAACATTCTGCTCCCTCTGCTCCCGGGGCTAACATATCGCAGGCCAGTTGCTAGCATGTCTCCATCCTCGCCCTGCGCAAACTACAGTAGACGGTAGAAAGGACTGGCACAACATGCGCAGTTCGTTCCGTGCCTCGCTTAGCCTGAGCTTTTTGAGCTGTGGCAAAACATCCCCATTGCCAGCCTAACATGTTCACGCATTCACACTGACCGTGAACCCCAGGCTTCGTAAATTAGATGCACTACGTGATGATACTTGCTGCTCTTTGACTCAGGTTTCGTTCACGTTTCCATTGTTGTTTTTCCTTTGGGAACCTCGGCAATTCGCTTTGGCCGCTGATGCAATGGCCTCAACCCAAGCAAGATCGTCATGTTCAATACTGAACTTCCAAATAAAACGAAGCACTGGTTGTGGCCTTGGCGACATGAATGTAATGCGAGCAAGGTGCAAATCATGGCCAGCCGGTTGGTGGTAAATCTGGTCCCACCAGTTAGGCCCCAAGGCGTGGAAGCAGCTGCCCTTGGCAAGCATGAACCGGTCCACAAAAAGATGTGCGACTCAGGTCTCGCGGTCTTGGCAAGAGTTTGAGGCTGGTATTGACGTGTCACAGTCCGAGGGTTGGTTTAAATAGGCAGTTTTGACTAACCGCCACTTTTCTCATCATAGTTGCGGCACTGGACCGGCTGGGGCCCTTGGGCCTAAGCCCTGTCTTTGGTGGTTGTGGCGCCGTCTGCACGGTGCCCAGGAAGTAGCCCTATGTAACGTCTGCGCCCGAGCTTGCTGTACTGCAGCTGTTGGGATCGGACTGTGCCAAGTACGCGATTCTGTGGCGTCAAAAACAAGGCCGCAAAACCTTGCCCAAAACAAGTTTAGTGTGGGGGGCCTTCATTCAAGACATAAGTTTGAAAGGGCCCATCAATGGTCTCATACCTGGGACCATTTCAATCGCTTTCAAGCAACTCTGCTGCTGCTGCTGCTGCTGCCTCATGGGTTTTTCAAAGTGTTACGCTTTGGCCTGTGACCCTGCGCACACACTCCGGAACACACTTCGAACTTGGGTTTTCAGTTAACGCAATTGCCACATTGGGAAGGAAGGCGATAGAACAGCATGGCGAAAAGTCCGACAACTTGGAAGTGTTTGAACATCGATTGTTTCGCTTGACTCGGCTGCATATCGGCGGTGGTGAACTGACGGCTCAAATCAGCTGCAAAACTGAGGTTTGGGGGTGGAAACATGAAGGACCATGAAGCAAAACGCGGAAGAGTGGTGTAACAGCTTGTGAAAGAACGAGCAGGTACGTCCAGCTGGCCAAGCTGGATATCCCACCAGATTGCATAGCTTTGTTAGACACGGTCTGCAATCTGGCGCCGTGTCCCCCTGCCCATGTAAAGTGGAAAGAGTGGTGGTGGAAGACCCTTTGTCCAGGGTTGGACACACACAGGTCGCCGCTTTCGGCGCTTTTTTCAAAAACCGGTGGCAGGCGTGATAGTTATGCCCCTTTTGGACATATAGATTCACGAGTTCGGCCGCAGCAGCGTCAGCGCTGGAGGGTGGAAATGTGTATTTTCGAATGGTGTGAAGTCGTGATTGGAGGCCTGATAGAGCCAAGTGCTGGCTCCCGGCAGTGATGGAATCCCGGATTTTCCAGGGTTGAGAAGGTTGCATGTAGGTGATGGTGCGTTGTGGGAGGTCGATGTTGAAACCGAGGAGATGAAAATCCTCCACCGGTTCTAGTTCCACAGGGTCGCCAAAGAAATTGTGGTGGATAAGGGTTTGGATAGCCGGGTGTTGAAGGAAATGTTCGTTGTGGACAATGAAGCGGTTGTCGACATAGCGATAGTAAGTAAAGTGGAGGTCTGTGTGTTGAAGGAGGTTGTTGTGGATCTGATGCCAGGAATGCTCAATGAGGGTGATGGCAACGTTGCATAGGGCTGGAGAGAGCTGGGATCCAATCCCGGCCCCTCGGATTTGTTTGTAAGTGTTGTTGCAAGCCCGGAAAATGCATGCGTTGAGGGCGAAAGCCACGATGGTGGTAATGTCGGAAGTCTGGATGGTGCGTTGGGTAGGGTGTTTCCGATGGTGTCTGCCAATGTGTGAGTGGTGGAAAGGATTGCCGGTGGCCTGGACATCCACCGTTAAGGTGTGTGTGGATTGCTGTTGTTGCCAGTGGTGGACGAGGGAGTGGACTGCATCGATGAGTCGGTGCTGGGGGACGGAGTTGAAAAAGCCGACCAGGTCATCGTTGGCGGCGTGTAGTGAGATGTCTGGTGGGGTTTGGGTGAGGTAACTGTGAAAGTGGTGCCAAAGCTGGGGAATGGACATTTGGCCTGGATGTTGAGGGTAGAGGTGTTGGAGGATAATGTCAAGGGCACGGCTGGTGATGCGTAGCAGGTTGCCACTTAGTGATTGGAAGTATGATATGATTGTACGGCCTTTTTGCCAGTGCTTCTTCTCTTTGAGGTGGACAACACCGTAGGGGATGTTGAAGTCTTTTCGGAAGCCCCACTTGTAGCGAGTGCGCAGGATGGGGGGGACAGTGGTGGCCAGGTGGTCGTGGATGTTGGCGGCAGTGATGTAGGGAAGTGGTTCGAAAAATTCGGGGGATTGCCAGGTGTTCAAGGCGCCAGCGAAATATTGGCGAGGGCAAAACAGCCGAAGTTGTTGGAGCTCATGATCGGCATGGTGGAGTAATGTGTGTTTGCCCAAATGTTCTTGGAGTTGACGAAGTAGGCGGGCCGTAAAGCGGGGTTGTTGCTTGAGGTGTGTGTTGTGAAGGCGCCATTGGTGCTCAAGGAAGGGTTGTAAATGCTGAACGAGGGATGGTGGAAGCCCTTGTAGTTTGAGCCATTTTGTGTAGGCCGTCTTGAATATGAGGAAGTGACGAGCTTTGCTTGGGTAATAGGTGCTGTTCATATTGGCGTTGAGAAAAATGCTGAGGTGTGTAGGGAGTAGGAGTTGGTCCAGTGTGAGGATGTAGTGGCCGTTGATGGTGGGGGTATCGGGATCCTGCAAGAGGGTGCGAAGGTGATCGCATGCACAGGGGAGGTCTGCTGGATCTGGCGGGGAGTGGAGGGTGTCCTCCCATGTGCGGTGGTTGTGCAGGTGGGAGCGGAGGGTTTTGTGGGCGGCTTCTCTCAGTCTGTGGGAGGGGAGGTGGAGGGGAATGGTGAACTGCTTGTGCTGCTGGATGGTAGTACGAAGCCACTGTTGGCAGTGCTTGGTAAAGTCGTCATGGGCCAAGAAGGGCACTGTCAATGGGATGTTTGGTTTTGGCGGCGTGAGGTTGCGGTAGATCAGGGCTTTGTTGAGGATGTGGAGAGCTCGGCTGCGGCCAGGTTCTTCCAGGTTTGCGGCCATGCGCCGGATTGCATAAACTTCGAGGTCCGTGTGGCGGCCGCTTCGGAGCTCTTTAGCTGCTTCAAAGGAGGCTGCGGTGTGTTTGGTAAGGTTGCGAAGAAGTTGGAGGGCGTGATGCTTGGTGGAAGTGTAGAGGTGTGGTTCTCTGAGGGTGTACTGGCGTTGCCGAAGGCGTCTGAAAAGTCGTTTGTGGGTGGCTAATCTGGAGTAGAAGTGGGCTCTGTGTTTTGCGAACTGCCATCCCTGAGCTTTGAGTTTGAGGTGGTGGGAAATGAAAGGCCAGCTGAGCGGAGGCATCCAGTTTGCGATGTAGTGGTGCTCTTGGATCCAGGCTTGGTCATATGTGTCATGGGAGGTAAGTTGAATAGTGGTGTAGTGGTGGATGTTGTTGTGTGAATGCCAATAACGTAGGGAGAGTTCGGCAGAAATGGGAATGTTGTTTTGGAGTTGTTTGAGTTTGGCGCGGCGATTGTGCTCGCGGTGGGGGATGCCAATAGCTGTGGAGCCAACATAGAAGTGGCCATGCTGATGGTAGCAGCGTTGGGGCTGGTCGGGATTGAAGTGGAGCTTGATGTAGACTGAATTGGAGGAGAGGAAGTTGTGGTAGTGGTAGGTGTGGGGCAAAATGTGGAGCTGGCGGAGACGGTTGCGCCATTGTTGTGAGCGACGGGTGTTGGATGGGTATGCGAAAAGGATGGTGATATGGATAAGGCCGGTTGCAAAGATGGCCTCGGCACGGTCGATGTATTGGGTGCGGTGGATGAGCATAGAGAGTGCTCGGTGCAAGTGGAAGAGTTGGGTGAGGTTGGTGTGGCTGGGTTGCTGCTGGGCCAGGATGGCGAGTCAGCAACCGATGGCTGCTCCAACGCCCACCAGCTGTTGTAGGCTGCGAATGGGGAGTCGGTTGACCCGGTTGAGGGGTAGGCCATACTTTGTGGCTGCTTCTTTTAGCTGCTGCGTGGTGACTTTGCTTGTTTGCAGCAGACGGACGACGTCCTTTGCAGCTTCTTGGATGGTGGGGTCGAAAGTAGTGACCCATTGTTGGATCTCTGGGTGGTTCCAGCCTTCGAGGATATCGTCTTGCAGCGTGGGGTGTGGTGGTTGCAAGACGTCGGTGAGGGCTGGTGGTTTCGGTGGTGGTGGAGTGGGTGCATGAGATGGGGCGGCTGGTGCGGAGGATCGGCTGGTGCTCTTGACGGGTGTGAGTGGGTTGCTCAGGTCTTCAAGTTTCTGACGTGCACGAGCCAGTTCGTCGTTGGTGTTTTTGAGGGCGCGTAGAGCGGTGCCTTCCGCAGGTGCTGGAGAGTGGGTTTGCAGTTGGTCGATAAGTAGTTTGATGAGGGGAGCGTGAAACGCTCGGGCATGGGTGGTTTTGTTGGGAATGTCTGTGCTCTGTTGGGTGTGGAGGGCCTCCGCGATGCCGTCAAGGTCAAGGCGCTTCTCACGGAGTTGTTGGAGAAAATGGGTCACGAAAACCGACTCCGCTATGCTTCTGGTGGCAATAAAACCTGTGTATTTGCCGTTGCTCAGTGTACGGGCGGTGAACTCGGAGGTGCCGCGGTAAGCCAATTGCCACGGGAAAACCTCAAAGGTGGGGAGTCCTGCCACGCCTGCTTTTCGAGACCACTGGGTGGGTTGGATTGTACGATGTAGTTGGTGGCCGTGCAGCGTGTTGGAGTCCCAATGTTGCTCGGTTGGGTTCCAAGAGTCGGGAACAGGTGGTGTGGGGGATGGGATGTGTGGGGGTGGTGGGGCAGGCGCTGTGTTGCCACGTGCGGTGGGTGGTGGCGGTGGGCTGTGTTGGAACGTCGATGGTGGTGGAGTGACGGGTTCGGCCGTAGGCAGGGGTGGCGGTGGTGGAGGTGGAAACTCCGGCTGGGAGGTGGATGCCTGTGGTGGGGGTGTATGCTGCGATGGCGGTGTGTACGGTGGAGTCACATACGGGTTGGAGTGGTGGACGTGGTGTGTACGAAGTGCGTGGGTGAGTGGGCCATAGGTGCCTGTGGGGCTGTAGGCGTGGTGTGTGGTGGTGGGAGGAGAAGTTGTGGTATCCGGGTTGGTAAGCTGCTGATGATGTTGCTGCATCAAATAATGATTCCAGTAGTATTGCTGCCACTGCGCGTCCATGGTGGCTGGGCGAAGTATCACTGGATCGTGGGCG